ACAGAGTACACAGGCAGCTGTCTCCACATTTGAGAGAAAAACTACTTGTCATTACAGGAGACAATGGTGTAATGAATGATAGTCATTCTCCTCCAAAAACACAGACCGTAATAAAACTCTCCACACAGTCTCTGTAGCACAGGCTCTCTGAAATCGATGTGACACACTAGCCCCCTAGTCATTGCTATATATACTGTATCTGGATGGGGAGTGAGTGAGCGAGCCAGCAAGGCGATGATTGGGTGAGCAGGCACGTAGCACTCGTTCACATCGCCGACCAGAGCCGTCAGCCTAGTTCTGGGCTCCCATCCTCCTTTTTCAAGGGCAAGGCGCCTGGTAAACAGCTTGTTACGCCGCTGCCAGTGGAGCCAACAGGAGTGGCTGCCGCTGCCCTCCTCCCTTCTTCCCTCCACAGTCCTCCCTCCCTCTCTCCTCTGACGTGGTGTGTTGTCTTCCCTACCCGTTGCCAGGAGGCTGTCTTATGTCATACATTATTTAACATGAAGAAAAGCAAAAGGAAAGGACAAATAACTGAGGCTCCCAGTCTGCAGCTCAGCTAGCAAGCACCTCTCCTCCTACAGTTCGCAGGGAATGCTGATGTTAATGGTGATGGTGGGATCTGTATTCAGTGGATGAGTGTAGGACAGACGCGTCACCTCGGCTGTGGATGTAGCACTGTGGGAAAATGAGGGGTGTCCTTATTGTTTGTTTACTGACACTGCTACATTATTCAAGTGGGAGGGGCTAGCTAGAATGATATTGCTTTTTTAGTCCACATACAGTAGCTACCTCTCTCAAATTTGTTTCCATACAAAGTGTATTGACTGGCGCTTTCTAGATGTTACTACTCTGTCTCCCTTTAGTTTGACACAGGAAAGATGTTAGATTGGATATCACAGTCATAACTATACACTGTGTGTCCAAAAGTATGTCACTTTGAAATGATCCCACTTTCATCTGAACATGCAGTAGGAAGACTAAAGAAGGTGAGTGTTAGAATGTGCCTCATGCTTGTTACACTTATCTTTGATATTCATATCAACCACCTGCCGTAGCTACACCAGAATGATACATTTGTTTATCTCTTCTGCCGACGGCAACCATGTGCCTCTTGTTCCTGGCCTATTGTACGCTTAAAATATAAGTTATCCACATGTAGTCGGGAACATCTTCCATAAAGGCCACTGAATCATGACATCTCACATGACCCTGTGTCCTGGAAGCCTGCTCGGCAGTGAGTTAATACATGCACACAGATGGATTAGCACAAATGCCCCATGATCCTCTGCAACAGAATTCATATGCATTCATATGGAGATGACGCTCACAAACGTGAAAAAAATAGAACCTCACACAGGTTCTAAATGAGCCCGGAGCAGAGACTCAAAATAAAAGGCTCTTCTATGGTTCCTAATGTTTCCATACATTGCCTCCTACTGGCTTTTGTGATGCACGTTAACAAATGGAATAAAGAAGTTAGTGTAGTTGCCTGTTGTTATTCATGAACATAAGTGGCATTTACAATGCGCTCAGTTTAAAAAACTTTCAGATGCTGTTGTAGCCCTCCTGTAATGACAACGGAGCGTGTCAAAGTACGGAGCTGTGTGAGGTACTCTGCCGACTCGGGTGATGACACACCATTGACTCCTAGGTGAACAGGTCGTGATAAGTGACAGGGAGCCTTTGTCAATATATTCCCAGTGACAAGGACACCATTTTCCCCTTCCCAGAATTCCAAGAGTTACTGTCATCTGTCATGATGCTGTCTGGGGGCATTAAATGGCACACAGTGGTGCTATCAAAATAACACGTATTAGGAGAATATACATTTGTGTTCATAGCATGATGTAGAATATGCTATCAGCGATATGCTAATGGAATACTCTATATTTCTAAAGAAAATATATAATACTAGCAACCACAATTCCATTGTTTTAAACTGAAATGAACTCTAGCAGGAAGTGCAACGTCTGTGCGTATTGCACTTTTGACATCCTCCATCTGTAATAGACTGAAACATCCATTATGTTCATGTTTTCTGAATTACCGTTATTACTTTTCCATTAGCCGCAATTAGTTACTGACAGCACAACTAGTAATGTATTCGCTTCATTGTTTTTTTGTCTTTGATATCTGTATTTGGGCCTGGGGAATGAAGCTAGATTATAGTAATTGCCCCAGGTGAGGGGTGATTATTATATTCTATGAATGTCATCAGACTCTGGCCAAAGTACTGAACAGGCAGCTTTTACTATCGGGACTATGTTCCGCAGTGGTTTCTTTGCATTGTGTAATTTGGGCTTCTCATGTTCTATGGATGAGATGGTGTTCTATGGTGTTAGATCTTGTGGAGTAGAAAATTGTTGTCAGTCACGGCACATACAAATCCCCTTGAACATGGTGGAAATCAGATTGGACATGAAAATAAACAAGCTTGAGTCATGAAAAAGTCATTCAAATGAATTTCATAGCTTTACAATTTGTGGAACGTATCAGCATTTCTCTCTGATAGCAAAGAGATTTGTCGAGTCGGAGATAATGAAAAAATGCTACAATCACAAAAAGCTATCAAAATGCTGTTATGTTGGCTTGATATATATATATTCATATTCAATGATTATTCTTGAAATAGCATTCAGGACACAGCCAGTGCCGCCAGCTTATTATTGGTTTAAACAGGCCCCCCAAACAGTCTTGAGTCAGAGCCAGCGATGGATGCTGTCACACAGTGTGAATAGCAAAGAGAAATCCAATTGGAATCAAATGTCTCTCAGTGACAAAATCCTGTTGATTGAATACAGCGGGGCAGACAGGCTCTCTCCGACTCACCAGGTGACTTGCAGATGGGCGTGCGCTACCATTTTAACGCATGACCAGACAAACCTATCTATTCCCTGTCTGTCCTCACTTCTACCCACCGTGTCATCGAGCTGCACATCCTGTCCGGAGGAAACACCCTGCACATCCTGTCAGGAGGATGCCCTGCCGTCTCAGACATAGACAGATGACTTCCAATCTCACCTTTGTTTTTAGATTACCGTACCCCAAATATTAAGGAAAGGTTATAACTGGGGATGATATAAAAAGAGTGTGACGATGTCTTTGTTACTTTTATCAAATACTGAAATAACTTTATAGTTGAAAATACGCTATTTGAGCCATGTTTCCTCTGAAATGTTTTACACGCCCTAAGAATATCTATAGTACAGTATACTCATCATAGCGTCAAGGTCGGAAGTACTGGTTAATTTTTTCTAAATGGTAATTTAATGGATTCATGCGATTAGCCGGAGGTTCCACTCACCTGGTGTTCCAGGTCTGAATCAGTCCCTGATTAGAGGAAAGACTGCAAACCAGCAGTGCTGTGGACCTCGAGGCCCAGATTTGAGAGGGGGATCTCTACACGATACAAAAAACTTGGCAGCCCACAACTGACCTCATTAAATCCAAAAGTTTGTGCGTGGCTGTTACACAAGTCTATTAAGACTTTTTTTACTCCCACTCTAGTCCCACTGTACAATGTAGATTATATCTGCAAAAGAGGATTGTACAGGTGGGGAGTTAGCCTATTCAATATCTGTGCACTTTCTTATTTAGATGTATTAATTTGAAGAAATAGGCCCCAAGCCCTTTGATAGTATGAAAATGTATGCACTCAATAACTGTAAGTCGCTCTGGATAAGAGCGTCTGCTAAATGACAAAAATGTAAAATGATAGATCTAGGAATTATGTACATCATTTGATTTTAGCATAGTAATGAATGACTGATAAATCCATAGAGAGAGTTTACTCATCTCTCTAGACTAGTGTGTTAGCAAGTTCACTTAAAGACAGGCGGTCGGGGAGGAAGCATTTATAGCAATAGAAAGGCCAGTAAAACTTAAACTAGAAATGCAAAAGCCTCCTTCTATATGGATAGTCTTACAATTTATGTAAAAAATCCACAGCAGTTCTGGAAATATGCAAATGCCTTTTCAATAGGTCAAATAATCAACCTATTCAGCAAATAATCCTAAATGACCGTGTCATTCAAGAGCCAGCAGATATAGCTGATGTTTTTAATCAGCATTTCTCATCTGTTAACTCATCTGTTACCTCAAATAATAATTTCACCCACAATTCTATCAATGCTAGGTATACATGGAACCAGGAGATCAACATCCCAAATCAGAAAATTAACTTTAGAAAGATCAAACCAACTGATATACCGCCTGTCCGCAATGAAATAAATATCAACAAAGGAGCTGGCCTAGCTGGACTGGAACCCAAATGTATAAAGTGGTCTGCTAATGTTATAATGTATCCTCTAGCAGATCTATTCAATGACTGCTGAAATACCTTTTGTATGGAAATGTACCCGAGTGACTCCTCTTCATAAAGGTGGAAACTCCTTAGACCCAAATAACTATAGACCTATATCAGTAATCTGTTCAATAGCAAAAATCTTTGAGAAATTAATATATTCCCAAATGAATCAGTACCTAGATTCATTTAATTTCACCCTTTCAATATGGTTTTAGACCCAACCATTCTACCACTACAGCATTAGTGAAACTTACTAATGATATACATTCTCCATCTGACCAAGGCAAACTAACTGGTGCCATCTTTAGTGATTGATCAAAAGCATTTGATGTAGTTGATCATTCTATCTTACTAGGAAAACATGAAAACATTGGTTTCACTAACAGATCACTAAAATGGTTCCATGCATATCTTAGCAATAGAAAACAATGTGGTTTCATAGAAGGACACGAATCACAACTTCTTGGACTCAGTAGAGGAGTACCTCAAGCCTCGGTATTGGCCCCCCTTCTTTTCTCTATATTTATAAATGAATTGCCTATAATTTATCAGAATACACATGTTAACTTATACGCTGATGATACAGCGCTCTATACATATCTATACATATATTTTTGCACATACAAGCAACTCTCCAAGATGATTTTAACACTTTGCAAAACATGTGGTTTTAAATAAAACAAAGTTCTTTATCATGCTGTTTGGTGCACGGCAAAGAATAAGCTCCACAGCTGGCAATTTCCAAATTCATGCAAGTGATGGAACAAAGCTTGAAAGTGGTGATTGTTTGAAATATCTGGGTTTGAGGGTAGATTCTGAATTATCTTTTGGAAAGCATATTGGTTATATTAGAAAAACAATTAACTATGAGCTTGGATTACTATACAGATCTAATATTTTTTTTAACTTTATCCATTAGAAAGACTGGACCCAACTTTTCCTTCCTATTCTAGACTATGGTGACATCATCTATCAAAACCTTACTTTGCGAATGAGATATTTATAACAATCTTTGCAGATTCATTCTTAGATGCCATTATAAGACACATCATTGCACAATGTATGAATCACTACATTGGCTTTTACTTACAAACAGATGTCAACTGCATTGGTACCAATTTCTTTTTAAATGTATCAACTTAAATTTCCCTGTATATATTTAAGATCACCTAACATTACAATACTCACACTACTCCTTTCGACAACAGCAGCAATGACAAACTCCAAGGGTACATCATGAGGTTGGAGTAAGATCTTTTAAATACAAAGGCCCAACTGACTGGAATAATTTACCTATAGAAATCAGGGCATTAAAATCACACAGTGATTTAAAATGTTAAGATCAAACTGTTTGTCTTTTTAACTAATAGAAACATCACCATGTGAAGATCTTTGGAAATATATACAGTACTAGTAAAAAGTATGGACACACCTACTCATTCAAGGGTTTTTCTTTATTTTAACTGTTTTCTACATTGTACAATAATAGTGAAGACATAAAAACTACGAAATAACACATATGGAATCATGTACTAACCAAAAAAGTGTTAAACAAATCAAAATATATTTTATATTTGAGATTCTTCAAAGTAGCTACCCTTTGCCTTGATGACAGCTTTGCACACTCTTGGCACCTGGAATGCTTTTCCAACAGTCTTGAAGGAGTTCCCACATATGCTGAGCACTTGTTGGCTGCTTTTCCTTCACTCTGCGGTCCAACTCATCCCAAACCATCTCAATTGGGTTGAGGTCGGGTGATTATGGAGGCCAGGTCATCTGATGCAGCACGCCAACACTCTAATTCTTGGTCAAATAGCCCTTACACATCCTGGAAGTGTGTTGGGTCATTGTCCTGTTGAAAAACAAATTATAGTCCCACTAAGCGCAAACCAGGTGGGATGGCGTATCGCTGCAGAATGCTGTGGTAGCCATGCTGGTTAAGATGTGCCTTGAAATCTAAATAAATCACAGACAGTGTCACCAGAAAAGCACCCCCACACCATCACACCTTCTCCTCCATGCTTCATGGTGGGAACCACACATGCGGAGATCATCCGTTCAACTACTCTGCGTCTCACAAACACACTGCGGTTGGAACCAAAAATCTGGGCATCAGACCAAAGGACAGATTTCCACCGGTCTAATGTCCATTGCTCGTGTTTCTTGGACCAAGCAAGTCTCTTCTTATTATTGGTGTCCTTTACTAGTGATTTCTTTGCAGCAATTCGACCATGAAGGCCTGATTCATGCAGTCTTCTCTGAACAGTTGATGTTGAGATGTATCTGTTACTTGGAACTCTGTGAAGCATTTATTTGGGCTGCAATTTCTGAGGCTTGTAACTCTAATGAACTTATCCTCTGCAGCAGAGTTAACTCTGGGTCTTCCTTTCCTGTGGCGGTCCTCATGAGAGCCAGTTTCATCATAGGGCTTGATGGTTTTTGCGACTGCACTTGAAGAAACGTTCAATGTCCTTGACATTTTCCGTATTGACTGACCTTCATGTCTTAAAGTAATGATGGACTGTCGTTTCTCTTTGCTTATTTGAGCTGTTCTTGCCATAATATGGACTTGGTCTTTTACCAAATAGGGCTATCTTCTTTATACCAACCCTACCTTGTCACAACACAACTGATTGGCTCAAATATATTAAGAAGGAAAGAAATTCCACAAATTAACTTTTAACAAGGCACACCTGTTAATAGAAAAACATTCATTTTTTTTTGAATGAAATTTAATTTTTGTGTCAAATCGCCAATTGGCAACCCATCCCTAATGGGATTAATTGACACATAAATAAACATTACAATAATTCACTGTGGTAATTCAGTGACAATTCTTCTTCCTTAAGTTCTCTGCAGTGGGCATCGCATAAGAGTGAAAACATTAAAGGTAAAATACAATACATAATAGTAAATAAGGTTATCCAAACAATAATTACAGTGGGGGAAAAAAGTATTTAGTCAGCCACCAATTGTGCAAGATCTCCCACTTAAAAAGATGAGAGAGGCCTGTAATTTTCATCATAGGTACACGTCAACTATGACAGACAAAATCAGAAAAAAAATCGAGAAAATCACATTGTAGGATTTTTAATGAATTTATTTGCAAATTATAGTGGAAAATAAGTATTTGGTCAATAACAAAAGTTTCTCAATACTTTGTTATATACCCTTTGTTGGCAATGACACAGGTCAAACGTTTTCTGTAAGTCTTCACAAGGTTTTCACACACTGTTGCTGGTATTTTGGCCCATTCCTCCATGCAGATCTCCTCTAGAGCAGTGATGTTTTGGGGCTGTCGCTGGGCAACACAGACTTTCAACTCCCTCCAAAGATTTTCTATGGGGTTGAGATCTGGAGACTGGCTAGGCCACTCCAGGACCTTGAAATGCTTCTTACGAAGCCACTCCTTCGTTGCCCGGGCGGTGTGTTTGGGATCATTGTCATGCTGAAAGACCCAGCCACGTTTCATCTTCAATGCCTTTGCTGATGGAAGGAGGTTTTCACTCAAAATCTCACGATACATGGCCCCATTCATTCTTTCCTTTACACGGATCAGTCGTCCTGGTCCCTTTGCAGAAAAACAGCCCCAAAGCATGATGTTTCCACCCCCATGCTTCACAGTAGGTATGGTGTTCTTTTGATGCAACTCATCATTCTTTGTCCTCCAAACACGACGAGTTGAGTTTTTACCAAAAAGTTCTATTTTGGTTTCATCTGACCATATGACATTCTCCCAATCCTCTTCTGGATCATCTAAATGCACTCTAGCAAACTTCAGACTGGCCTGGACATGTACTGGCTTAAGCAGGGGGACGCGTCTGGCACTGCAGGATTTGAGTCCCTGGCGGCGTAGTGTGTTACTGATGGTAGGCTTTGTTACTTTGGTCCCAGCTCTCTGCAGGTCATTCACTAGGTCCCCCCGTGTGGTTCTGGGATTTTTGCTCACCGTTCTTGTGATCATTTTGACCCCACGGGGTGAGATCTTGCGTGGAGCCCCAGATCGAGGGAGATTATCAGTGGTCTTGTATGTCTTCCATTTCCTAATAATTGCTCCCACAGTTGATTTCTTCAAACCAAGCTGCTTACCTATTGCAGATTCAGTCTTCCCAGCCTGGTGCAGGTCTACAATTTTGTTTCTGGTGTCCTTTGACAGCTCTTTTGTCTTGGCCATAGTGGAGTTTGGAGTGTGACTGTTTGAGGTTGTGGACGGGTGTCTTTTATACTGATAACAAGTTCAAACAGGTGCCATTAATACAGGTAACGAGTGGAGGACAGAGGAGCCTCTTAAAGAAGAAGTTACAGGTCTGTGACCAAATACTTATTTACCACCATAATTTGCAAATAAATTCATAAAAAATCCTACAATGTGATTTTCTGGATTTTTTCTCTCTCAATTTGTCTGTCATAGTTGACGTGTACCTATGATGAAATTTACAGGCCTCTCTCATCTTTTTTAAGTGGGAGAACTTGCACAATTGGTGGCTGACTAAATACTTTTTTTCCCCACTGTAGATACTTTTGTAACTGTTTCTTCCAGCATGTTCACACGGACCTTTGCTGTTGTTCTGGGATTGATTTGCACTATTCGCACCAAAGTACGTTCATCTCTAGGAGACAGAACGCGTCGCATTCCTGAGCGGTATGACGGCTGCATGGTCCCATGGTGTTTATACTTGCGTGCTATTGTTTGTACTGATGAATGTGGTACCTTCAGGTGTTTGGAAATTGCTCCCAAGGATAAATCAGACAGGCTGATTTCTTTTGATTTTCCCATGATGTCAAGCAAAGAGGCACTGAGTTTGAAGGTAGGCCTTGAAATACATCTACAGGTACACCTCCAATTGTTTGTTAACAAGACATTTTTGGAGTGGTTTTAAAAACAAGTTTTAATGACTCCAACCTAAGTGTATGTAAACTTCCGGCTTCAACTGTATATAGAGAATGCCAAGAGTGTGCAAAGATGTCATCAAGGCAAAGTGTTGCTACTTTGAAGAATCTGAAATATAACATATATTTTGATTGGTTTAACACTTTTTTGGTTACTACATGATTCCATGTGTGTTATTTCATAGTTTTGATGTCTTCACTATTATTCTACAATGTAGAAAATAGTAAAAATAAAGAAAAACCCTTGAATGAGTAGGTGTGTCCAAACATTTGACTGGTACTGTATGTATATATTGTTGGAGCCAAAGCACATAGAGAGAATCTTGCCGCACATTTTAATTCACAGGCAATAAAGATAAAACATTAGGTAAAAAACCTAGGTGTTATTTTAGATTCTGAACTATATTTCGAATCACACATTAGGAATGTGACCAAAATAGCTTTTTACCACCTGAGGATCATTGCCAAGGTGCAGCCGTTTCTCTCTCAGGATGATACAGAGAGACACATCCATGCTTTTATTACAAGCAGGCTTGACCACTAATGCTCTCCTGTCTGGTCTACCCAAGAAAGCCATTGGTCAACTGCAAAACATACAGAATGCTGCAGCACGGGTACTGACCAAGACTAGACAGAGAGCACACATTAATTACAAGGTCTCTGCACTGGCTGCCTGTGAGTTTTATAATTAATTTTAAGATTCTTCTATTGGTTTTTAAATCAATCCACGATTGTGCAACCCAATGCATGTCAGACATGCTTTTAAGTTATGTACCCAGTAGGTCCCTCAGGTCCTCTGGCACTGACCTTTTAACTATCCCAAAGCCTAGGACCAAGAGGCATGGAGAGGCAGCCTTTAGTTATTGTGCCCCCAGCCTCTGGAATAGCCTGCCAGAGAACCTGAGGTGGGCCGAAACTGTGGACATATTTAAAAGAGATCTTAAAACACATCTTTTTAGCTTTGCTTTTCCTTAGAGTGTTTTTTAGTCATTCCGTTTTTGTCATTCTTTTGTTTTTAGTAGTTGTAGCAGTAGTTTTTATTAGTTGTAGGCTTATTAGTAGTTGTATAAAGCTGTTTTATGCTGTTAATGTAAGTTCACAAAAAATATATATATT